GTCTACGGAATCCGATGAAATCCTCTACCTGTTGTTGATTTATTGGTTGCTCTAGGACTGATTGTTCCTTAACAAAATGTTCACTGACCTGTTGTTCCATGACTGGCTGTCTCTGGACTTTGACTATGACTAGTTTGACCATTAGTTCTGCCATTTGAAGAAGATTTAAGGTCAAGGCAGTCATACTTACTGTTTAATTAAGTAAATAATTACTCAGGAAAAGTTAGACTACCAAAGTAGTAGTCTAACTCATTAGTAACTACTCAACTGAGCCCTTACTTACCACATAACCACCTTCCCCACACCCCCCACTCCCCCAACCATTACACTTGCCCTCAAACCACTTACATACCTACAGCCTGAACTGACAACCCTGCGCTCTCCACGATCCAGTGCCTGTTTCTTCCCACACACAACACCTACTTCTCCAGCTTCAGACTCAACACATCCCTCCAAAACTGGCCTCCCTTCCCTTGCTAATGACCCCGGCCATTTCCCCCATTCTGGAACTACCCCAACTCTTTCTCTACACAACAACTACTCATCCAGCATTGGACGCAACACATTCCTCCAAAGTGGCAAGTGGCCTCCATTCCCTTGCTACCAACCCAGGCCACTTGCCCCACTCTGGAATCACCCCCACTCAACATCCCTTTTCCCTCTCTAGACCCTACCAAACTATCCTTCATCTCCAGTGGACTCTATTCTATGCCCCGTTACATCTTCAAACTCAGCACCCTTAACCCCACAGGAGATGTACTTCCTTCTGCATCCCTGGACCTGCTACCTCCTTCCCATACACCACTCCCCTTTCCCTGCCTCACACCCTATCAACCTCTGGATCCCACTCTAGGATCCAGCCCAACCTTTCCCTTCCCTACTGGATCCAATTTCAACAACCCACTCCAACCTACCCGAACCACTGTAATACTTACCTTGCCACTTGCCATTTGATCCGATGGAACCAATGATGCCTATCCACTTGATATCCTACCCACCTAGTATCCTACCACCTATCCAGAGGGAAACTATTCATCTTCTACCCTCGCAAATTATCCAGTTGGCACCCTACTTACCTGGTATTGTAGGGCCCTAAACCCCAGCACCCAAAACGATCACTTTCCTGAATTTATTATTGTTTTTGTCTGTGATTTAGGACTTTAATTTCACCCTACAGTGAACTGTCAGAATGGAAGTATGGCTTTGCATTTCTGAAGGAGCCTTTATTGACACTCATATTTGAGATGCGGAGCTTGGGGAGAGTGGTAATCTTCAGCAAACCTGGTCAAAATGTTACAAAGACAGTGAGAACATGTGCTCAGCTGTTCTCCCACTAAGTTTTAATGACATCATAACAAGTGATCTTTAAGGCAGTTGATTCAGTCTCAGTTGGACCCCCATGCTTGTGAAGTGCCTCTTTTGCAGTCAGTATAAAAGGAGGAGCTGGGAGCCAGTATTCTAGACTGGAGCGTTGGAAGTTGAGGCATGACCTTATAGAAGTTTACAAGGTCATGGGTAGGGTGAATAGCCAAGGTCTTTACCCCAAAGTAGGGGAGCGTAAAACTAGAGGGGAAAGATTTAAAAGGGACCTGAGGGGCAACTTTTTCATGCAAAGGATGGTGCATGTATGGAATGAACTGCCAGGGGAGGTGGTGGAAGCTGGTACAATTACAACATTTAAAAGGCATCTGAATGGGTATATGTATAGGAAAGGTCTAGAGGGATATGGGCCAAATGCTGGCAACTAGGACTAGATTAATTTAGGGTATCTGGTTGACATGGACGAGTTGAACAGAAGGGTCTGTTTCCATGCTTTACATCTCTATGACTCTATTAGAGTCGAGCATCGTGATCGCACGGAATCCCGATCACAGCAGACTAAAGGAATTGAGTGGGATATTGAAGATTCTATTGGGCAATTCCTCTTCGCCTGGAACTCTCCAAAAGTCTCCACTTATAGTTGGGAGAATTTAGGGAGTTCTGATAAAACTAGGTGATATTGTTACACAAGAAAAGTTAGACAATCAAGAACATGTTAGACTGTCGAGTACAATCTGCGTCCATCCACCTCCCGGTCCTGGCACTCCCGTTTACTCGCTGCCAGAACTGGCGTGACCCGAATTCTCCCAACGTACCCTAAGTGCATCACCTGGCTGTCTTGCTACCTAGCCACCCGTCACACTACCTCCTGACACCATACCCCTTATCAAATACTCCCGAGTAATTATGCAAATGACCCTATACTTACAGAACCCCAACTATACCACTGTACCTGCAGAGCACTTACACATCGCCCCCGACCCGCACCTGATGCTCCTTCTCTCTCCCACCCAGGACCCCGTACCTCCCGACCCGTTTCAAACTCAATACCCTTCCTTTTCCCTACACTCTGGACCCGACTCCATTTTCCAGGCTTTGGAATACTTCCTTCAACCCGAATCGCTCCGGACTCGACCAACCGAGTTGCAATCCAAAGTTGCAGATTCTCAGGTGATCCGACGGGGCGTACGAGCCCCGCCCCGAACGACCGTCAATCACCAACAACCCGCCGGGCCCCGCCCCGAACGACCGTCAATCACCAATCACCCGCCCTGGGCCGAACGATTGACAACGGCTGATCGAATGCCCCGCCCCAAGTGCCTGGCAATCACCAGTCTCTTGCCCCGCCCAGAGCGAACTGACAATCGCTTATCGAACGCCCTGCCCCGAACAACTGACAATCACCACACTGTCGCCCCGCCCCACGCGCCTATCAATCACTAACCCACACCTCTGGCCCCGCCCAGAATCGCTGACAATCACTGATCGAACGCCCCGCCCCGAGCGCAAGCAAATCATCAACCTCGTGCCCCGCCCCCAGCGACTGTCAATCGACCTCACGCCTCGGCCCTCCCAGTTCAGGTAGAATACACCAGTTTATTGACAGCTGTCTCGTCCTCACGGTGGAACAGAAAAACCCTACCGAGCCAAAGGATTGACTGGCCGGGGGTGGGGGTGTGTGGCGGGGTTGGCGGCCGCGGGCCCGGCCCCTCGTTGCTGAGGGAAGAGTGGTGAGTGGTGGCGCAAGGACGACGCTGGCGATCTCGCTGAAATGCGGTGGAATGGGGGCTCGGCGCGAGCTGGTTCGGTTGAAGCCCCGCGCTTGCGCACAAATTCCTTCGTGGTAGGTATAAAAGGCGGAGCAGGGAGCGTCCCCGGAGTCAGTGGGTACAGGTGGGTGGATGGATGGATCAGTTAAAATTGGTCCTTATGGCTCTGCGCGCTTTCACTGACTGCTTGAGGGCATGGCTCCGGCCATACATGCTTCCTGTGGTTGCTGGTGACTCCCACCCTCTCAGTGTTTGTTCTTAAGAAGATTTTGAGCATTGTTTCGAGGCATCATCATGTGGCCTTTTCTGTCTGTAGGTCTTCTGATTCTCTGTGATTGCTTTCCACGCCCACCGTGTTTTAGTTTGTTGAGGAAATTGGGGTGAATTTCAGTGTTTGTAATCAGTTGAAGTAACTCGCTAGCTCCAGGCAAGGCTTAGGAATTTAATTAAATATCATATTGTCGTATTGCTGGTTTAAGAAAAGGATTTGGGATACTTATTTTGAAGATGTCGCCCCACAATGAATGTTAATAAATACTAAAATTAGGTCTGTTTGGTAGTTAGAAACTGGTACAGATTGAAAAAGAGAAATAGAAATATGTTGATGTACAGACATTAGAGCCATCATGACTGTTCTGTGATATTTTTTTTTCCTATTTTTGAGCTACCAAAATCTCCTTGGTTGCGAGTGTGTAGTTTTTTTTTAAATACAATAATAACTAGAGAGCCATATTTTAGCTCTTTATAGCATTCATCTGAATGCTAAGAGCACGTGACACAAAGATAGGTGGAGAGACAAGATAGTGTTGATGTAGTAGGGAGGCTGGACAGATTAGGAGAGTGCCCAAGAAGTGCAGATGGTATACAATGTGTGACAGTATGAGGTTATGCACTTCTATTGGAAGAATGGAACATATTGAAACATAGACTATTTTCTAAATGGGGAAAGGCTGTGGAAATCTGAAGCACAATGGGTTTTGGGTGTCCTAGACTCTGGATTTCCTTAAGGTTCAGTTGGCAGTAAGGCAGGCAAATGCAGTGTTAGTATTCACTTTTGAGAGGGCTAGAATAGAAAAGCAATGATGTGGTGCTGAGGTTGTACAAGATTCTGGTCAGGCTGCATCTGGAATATTGTAAGCAGTTTTAAGTCCCTTTATCTCAGAAAGGATGTGCTGGTCTTGGAGGGTGTCCAAATGAGGTTCACAAGAATGATGTTAGGGATGAAAGGCTTGTTGTATGAAGAGTGGTTGAAGACTCTGGGTCTGCACTCAGAGTTTAGGAAGATGCGGGTGATCTTGCTGAAACACTCAATGAGAGGCATGGATGTAGTGAACATGGAGAAGATGCCTCTCCTACCAGTGGATACTAAGACCTGAGAGCACAGCCTCAAAATGAAGGAATGACCTTTTAGAATGGAAATTAGGAGGAATTTCTTCAGTGACAAGGTGGTGAATCTGTGGCGGCCAAGTTGTTGAGTGTATTTTAAACTGGGACAGAGTTCTTGATTGATAAAGAAATCAAGGATGATGAGGAGAAAGCAAGAAAATGGGGTTGAGGAAATATTGCCTGTGATCAAATGGTGGAACAGACTGATGGGCCAAATGGCCTAATTCTCCTCTTGAATCTTTGTCTTGTGGAATTAAGGAGAGAACAGCCAGCTGGTGGATCATTCTTACAGTTGTTATTGCAGTATTGGCACTGAGGGCAGTCAGTTTGTGCATAGAGTGTAAAGATATTCATTCAGTATTGAGATAAGTGATTATCTAATCTGCTTCATTGTTCTAAATTGAAGGGTTTGATTTTGTTCAGGATGTTGAGAACCCCATTGCTTTTGGATAGTGCCATTGGACCCTTTACATCTACATCCCCCATCTATTTTATGTTGAACCATAAACTTTCCCCATTTACAATAATGATTTGCATGTTTGTGTTAATGGTGAACGTAATGACATTTTAATAGTTTTCTGATTAAAAGGCTTGCTTTAAAAATTTTGCACTGAATTCAGATGTTTACACTTATCTAATGTGCAGCCTCCTGTAGGCTTAACTTTCCTCAATATCAGGGATATTTTTCATGACACGAGAAACCTTGGAAGCATACAGCATGGAAAAATCTTCATGTTTGTCTTGGCTTTTTTTTTCTGAAAGAGCTATTCAGAAAGTTGTCCTGTTTCCTTTTTTAATCAAAAGTACCTTCGAGATTATCCGATGCTGAATCTTTGCCCTTTATTTTCTCACAGCACTAGGGTGAGGAAGAACTTCTCCTCTTACTCGTACAAAATACTGAATTTTTGAACACCATTCCGTCTCTTCTGGTGATAGTTCTAGCATATCTTGTCTCTTTGCTTGATCAGCAAAACCTCCTCTTAAAAATCCTCCATTAAAGAGCTATTAACCAACAACTGTAGCTTTCCGCATATTTCTGTGGATGTGACCTCTGCTATTTTATGTTGAATGACCAATTTTATGTTTTATCATTTCAGAGCAAGAAGAATGGGCCTCCAACAATGCTAAGACTATCATGGGTAGTATCAGGTTCCACTATTTCTGTTATGGATGCCTTTTTTCTTCATTACTTTGGACCTTTCTCTTGTTCATCTATTTCAATCTAAATTGGGAAAAATATACTTTCAGTAATGTGCCCTTCCAGGGGAATCCAGGAGTAGTGCAGAAATTTCACCCTCCAGTAATAAACAGTCATAAATGGCTTCCTGAATTTCAGCAACACAGTACTCAGTTTATAAAACCTGTTAATAAAGAATTGAAGAAAATTGAGCTGTCTCCTGAGTTGGGTGAGTAACCTTTTTTTCTCTTGAACTGAATTCTTCAAATGTAGTGAATGTTGGTACGCTTACCCCAAAACCAACTGTTCTATAATCTGTGCAACTCTTTATCAGCCAGGACACCATGTTCTTTTTTTTTCTAAATTGAAAGATTCAGTTCTTGTTGTTATCTTCTACATTCTAACCAAATGACTTGCTGTGAAATCTGAATGTTGCTGTTTTGATGGCAAGCTAGCAAAGCTTGGTACATCTTGTTTTAAATGTTTGGACACTTTATGCCAAGTGAAGAGAATTGTGTAAAATAACCCATTTCTCTGGCTTGAAATATTTTCTGTGGAGAATAGAAACGAGTGTAGAGTGGAAAAGAGATATTGTGAGACATGGAACAACATTCAATAATTTCTAATGTTGCACAATCTCAGGCTTACACTCTTGGAATGTGCAAACTCCTTTTGGTATCAGCTTGGGATTTTGGTGACTGATCCAGGTCAAAATAAAGAAAAGCTGTGATTGTTATGTGGCACTAGAATGTATTGAGGCAAGAAGATTGTTTTGTTGTAAGGCTGAGTAGTGTTGGTCTCAACAATGCTGCATTGGTGAACTGAGCTTTATTAAAATGACTACTATTGTAAGAATTTGAAACATGTTTCAAAGTAGGATTTTTTTAAAGTTTTATTTTTGTGCTATATAACTAGTCGAGTGTTTAAGCATGCTAGAAATGAAATGTAATAATACTATTTCTCACCCTTTCAGGAAGGATTTTCAATGAAGCTGATCAGAAGATTCGGGATATGGGATACCAGAAACATGCTTTCAACATGCTCATCAGTAATCGTTTGGGTTATCATCGGGATATTCCTGATACCAGAGACCCAAAGCAAGTCCTGCCTCTTTTAAAAATATGAAATGGAGTCCTGCATTGAATTATCCGTGGTGCAAGAGAGCTTCTTTTTCCAAAATACTGACTTGGTTTGAGAAATTTGATTTAAATACAGGTGCTTTGTACATTTGAGGTTTTGGGAGTTGAGGTGGCTGGCAAAGTCATCTTGTGCTATTCTTTGTGCTTAGTGGCTAACTTGGTCATTCTAGTGAAGTTAAGGAGTAGGTCACCACTTAAAGTTGAAATTGTTGCCATTAACTCAAATTCAAGAAGTCTTCAAGACAAGTGGTTAGTGCAGAGTGGGAAATTTTATTGTTGTTGTGAACATCTTGTAAAGCTGCTGGAATTTGTTTTTCCCTTTATCGTTGCAGGTTAGAGAGACTCTGCAAAGTTACAATGGTATAGATGAACATGAGATAACACAGTATGGCATTGGAGGAACACAGCAGGCCAGGCAGCATCAGAGGAGCAGGAAAGCTGAAGACCCTTCTGAAGAAGGGTCCTGACCTGAAACGTCAACTTTCCTGCTCCTCCGATGCTGCCTGGCCTCCTGTGTTCCTCCAGCTCCATACTGTGTTATCTCTGACTCCAGCAACTGCAGTTCTTGCTATCTCATAGATGAATATAAGTTTATTTTGCTACTAAATGGATACAGAAATGTCTGGGGCTGCCTATGCGTTCTGATGTAGAATTCTATTTACATTGTTTTATGAAAAGTTAGCTACCAGTTTTATTCAACTGAACACTGCAGTGAATTCTGGGAAATTTTTAACTTTATTGTAAGCTGTCTTTCTTTTTTTTTGTAGATGTAAAGAAAAGAGCTACCCTGTCAATTTACCATCTGCTAGTGTTATTATCTGCTTTTATAATGAAGCATTATCAGCACTGCTTCGGACAGTTCACAGTATCCTGGATCGCACGCCTGCATACTTATTACATGAAATTATCCTGGTGGATGATAGGAGTGATTTCAGTATGTAAATTTTTCCTTGTTTTTTGGCTTCTAACTTTTTTTGCTTATTTCCTCTTCTATAACGAACAGATCTTTAACTTGCAATGTTATTTACTATCTAAAATGTCTGTCATATTGGTTTCTGCATATATTCTTCTAGTCTCCTAAAATCCACACTTGATTTTGTTTTTATATCTAATACCTCCTGAGCTGGTAAAAGTAGGACTTGAAGTTTGGTTAGTCTTCTTCATTAATCCCTTCCTGCCAAAATTGTTTTTGTTTTCTATTTTTCAGTTGAATTAAAAGACAAACTAGAGAAGTACATTGACAACAACCAACTTAAGAAAGTGAAGCTAATAAGGAATGTAATGCGAGAAGGACTAATACGTGGCAGAATAGTTGGGTCATCTCATGCAACAGGTATCAAACTATGCATGATCTTATTACGCTTTAGTTTTGTTCACATTGCATTCTTTACTTTTCTGGTCAAACTTCAGCGGGATGTGAAACTTTGCAGAATTTTAAAATATTTATTTTTATTTGAAGTGGACGTTTTTAGTATTTTTTACTGAATAACTTGATCAGTCTTTGTTTAGAATTTATTGCTCTTGTTGGCTTTTTTTTTTTTTTGTTACAACTGCTAATCAAAAGTTAGTCGAACTAAACTTATTTAGACATTTACTTGAAGACCTCCTGAATCAGACTACATAAGAAAGGAAAAAGTCATTCTGCTCATTTAAGTAACTCCTCCTTAAACAGTTCTACCTCTTCTACCCCTGCTGTTCAGTCATTCATCATAGCCACCAGCTATTTCTTAAATGAGATCATTAGCCACACAGATGCAAGGGGAAAAAAAAACTTGTAATGTACCTAAAGTAGCTATTCTGTGGTGAATGGTTAAGAAACCTCTACTCGCAATTAGCTTCATCTATCAAAGTGCACACCTCCTGAAGGCTGATCTAATTTATCAGCAAGCACTTAAGTTTACTGCTACCGAGGGGATACAACAACACTGCAACCTCCCTGAAAGTCCATTTGTGTTCAAATCTGGCAGTCATAGTACTGAAACATCAGTCCACACCAAAAATGCACTGAAAATCCTGAGTTGATTCCCCAGCACGTCAATCAACATGGACTCACTTGAAGGGAAAGCTGTTTGTTTGTTTGTTTTTTTTTAAATGTCAAGTAACAAATTAAAAGTCACTCTTTTAAAAACAAAAGTACACACCTTCTTTTTTTTTTAAGGGCATGATGTCCACTTTTGACATCAATGTCAAATGCCATGTTGCTAAATTCATCCACTGAACTTGTAGTTGGATCTGCTGTGCTGATGAAGGAGCAGGTTCCCGGAGAACCTGATCACTACCACTTTTCACTCCTTGTTCAGTATACCAATAATTGGTATGCAATGTGCAAGTAGAGTTTTAGTCCATGCTTGATGCCTATGATTTTCTTTTGCCTCTTTAATCTGCACACCAACAACTTAGCTTTACAGTTATCACTAGCTATGGAAATAACTTCCTACACCACAATTCTATTTTATCATAGTCAGAAATCACACAACACCAGGTTATAGCCCAACAGGTTTATTTGAAATTACAAGCTTTCGGTGCCTCCTCCATCAGGCGAAGTGGAGGGAAGTGCCTATTTACCATGGGTCAAACTACTCCATTCATCATGGTTTATCTTGAAGTATTGTTCTGAATTTGCTAATGGTTAAACTTCCTTTTTGAGTTTAGCTTGGATTTTCATAATTAACAACTTGTTTCTTTTTACCTTTTTTCAGGTGATGTACTGGTGTTCATCGATAGTCATTGTGAAGTGAATGAAATGTGGCTGCAGCCTCTCCTGATGCCAATTAAGGAAAATTACCACACTGTAGTCTGTCCACTGATTGATATCATCAATGCTGACACACTAATCTACAGTTCTTCACCAATAGTGAAAGGAGGATTTAATTGGGGGCTGCACTTCAAGTGGGATCCTGTGCCTGTGTCACTACTGAATGGACCAGAAGGAGCAACTGAACCATTCAAGTACTAATCCAGTAATATTTGCTTCACTTTTTTTTGAGGGAGGATTTATCTAAAGAAATTGAATGCAGTATAGAATTAGAAATATATAGATTACCAAATGGCAACTGCAAAACGAACTTTCGCTCACTGCTCACTAGGCCTCCAACTAGAAGAATAACTCTAGTTAGACTTAAAAATTTGGAGATTGTTGTTGCAATGTAGCACGTGGTTAGACTACGTTCTTTGCATTCCTTCATTCAGATCACCTACAATGGCAGGAGGATTGTTTGCCATGAACCGGGATTACTTCAATAAACTTGGGCAGTATGACAGTGGCATGGACATATGGGGAGGAGAAAATCTGGAAATTTCTTTCAGGGTAATTTTCCTCATTGCCTCCTAATTAAAGAATTGATTTTTTTTTTCTTTTGTCATGCAATAACTAAATCTCATGTCAAATTAACTTCATTCTTTTGTGTGTTTTTTTTAATATATGCCATTTGTTTGTTTTTTTTTGGCTCAGATTTGGATGTGTGGTGGCCAGCTGAAAATAGTTCCATGTTCTCGTGTTGGGCATATATTCCGCAAATGGCGACCATATGGTTCACCAGGAGGTGTGGATACCATGGCATACAATTCTCTGCGTCTTTCCCATGTCTGGATGGATGAATATAAGGTAAATATTTACAAGAGAAATATCTGACTTGGTTAGTCCAAATGAAAGGTATGAGAAACATTACCTGAATTGTACTCTGCAAACATTGTATGTATGAGCACCATCTTTAGCAGTAACATTTTTTTAAAAATGTTTTCTCAAGTGTCTGTAGGGAATTGATTTATCAACCCTAGAAAGTTGCTTGAATGCTTAAGCGCAAAGGTATTCAGTTAGTGAGCTGTTCTACCAGTAGCTAGCAAGGAGCAGGAGTAATGGTTGAGAGTTAAACTCCAGCATGAGGATGTTCAATTTTTGGTGTAGAAATGGCTAGCAAGGACTTGATCTGTGATGCTTCCTAGCATTTTGGACAAGCTAGATATGATGCTGCTGAAGAGAACATTAATGTTGTTGACTGTGCCAGAGGTAAGATTGAGGAAAATTTGAGATTAAGATTGCTTTTAGAATTGACAGACTACCACAAATTGAGCAGGTCTTGAACTGGAGCTAGGTGTCATCAGTATTCTGACTGTCCTTGTTAATAATGACATTGACCTGCACTGTAAGTGGAACAAGCTAAAGTAAGGTTCCTGAAGTCTTAAGGTAATGGTGTGGAGACTGTTTTTCCCCTTGTTTTTTTTTTTTTTAAAAAACCTTTTTTTCTTTTTTGTTTCGCTTTGCTCAGCATGCTGACAAGTACGAGATGCTTTTAATAAGCAGTGTACATAACTGGATTTTTGAACTGAAGCCCATGTGCCATTGTAGCCATGTTGCCATGTTGCTAATGGAATTGGGTAGTAAAGGTAGTAGATTGTAAACTTCTGTTCAATTTTGAGTTCATTCCTAGTTTTGAATTTGCAGCAAAACTATTTTCATGAATATGCAGTGTGTGTAAAACTTACATTTTTGCAACCAAGGGGAAGCAGGGATGAATTAAGATTGGGTTCTCCACCTCACCCCAAGCCTCAAAAGACCCTTGGGCCGATCGAGTCTGCACTGACATAACTACCACTAAAAGTGCGCTAATCCTAATTTCCTGCACTTGTCCCATATGTTTGAATGTTATGATATTTGATGTACTCATCCAAAAATTCTTTAAAGGTTGTAAGGTTTCCAGCCTCCACTGCCTTCCCAGGCAGTGCATTACAGATTCTCACCAGCTGAGTGAAAAATTTTTTTTATTTTCTTTTCCCTTTTAATTTTCTTTTCCAGAACTGAAGTTCACCTTCTTTTAGTTTCATTTTGTAATTGCTGGGGTGGAATCTAAGATTTCTGCTTAAAATGTGGCTGAATTTTTTTAATGAGACTATCTGCTCTGTTTCCTTGGCTTGTGTATGTGATGGCTTAGAATTTTTGCATTATATTGTCATCTTTCCCATACATACTGAAATGTACACTGTATCCCTGTAACAAGTTTAGGCCCGAAACATCAGCCTTCCTGCTCCTATGATACTGCTTGGCCTGCTGTGTTCATCCAGCTCTGCACCTTGTGGGCAATTGATCTTCGTTTATCTTTTTTAATGTAGATTAATGTTAATAGTACTAAAGCCTGATAGCTGCTGGTGAGATGTTAACTGAAGCTTCTAGATTTGAAGGAAGCTAGCAGTTTTGGCTGGTTCTTGACTTGTTTTAAATATAGGTGCTTGACTGAGATCAAATGGAAATTCAATTTTTAATGTAATTCTTTATTGCAAACTTTAATTTCAAATAAAATAAGTTTCATTGTAGCTCCTGTTGGAGGGGCTGTGAAGTGAACTGAAAGGACACTGTCTGGATACAAACATCTGCTCTGGAATTTTTTTTTGTTTTAACTTGGCTTAATTTTACTTTTGCTCCCTTCTGAAATGTAGAAATTCTTTTTCAGGAACAATACTTATCCTTAAGACCTGACCTGAGGAAACAAAGTTATGGTGACATTAGTGAGCGTTTGGAACTGAGAAAGAAACTGAACTGTACCTCTTTCAAGTGGTATCTGGACAATGTATATCCAGAGATGAAAGCTAATGGACTAAATGAAAAAGCCAGAATACAACAGCCACTCTTTATTAACAAAAGTCCCAAACGGTCTAAAATACTACAGCGGGGAAGGGTAAGATTCAATAGACCTCATTTGATTTACAAATAAAACTTGTGACGTTTCAGACACTCTCCTCTTACCCATGATATATTCCAGTGTATTTTCTGCAGAATCTGATGTAACTGGGGAAATGGGGACAAGATCCAGAATGTTCAACTTTTTAAAGTTTGGTTGCTAGCTCAGTGTGAGCTGCTCACTCCACTTTTTTTTTTTTGTACAGTCTTTCTTTTTATATCCTTGGTGATTTCAAAAATGGTTATGTTAAACTAGTCAGACTCAAGATTTCAATTTCCTTTTTAAGCAAGCAACCAAACTGGAAAACACAAGGCCTGTAGATTCCTGGGTCTTACCATTCCCTTCTGCCTTCTTGATGGATCTTCACCTGCTTCTCGCTCAAGGCTTGGCTGCTGTGCTTGCTGATTGGTAAATTTATTACCGTTTTTGCTTTGTCTTTGTCTTCGCATTTGAACTAACACAAACTCCAGCACACAATGTCCATGTCAAAACCATAACAGAATCTGTAGGGATATTAGAAGGAGAATAATAATATTTCAATAACGGGTATACCTGAGCCCTCATCAATAACAATGAATAACGGTTATGCCTAAACTATATGTAATGAAGGCTTACCAAGGAGGTCAGTGTCAAGTATTGCTAAGAGCTCGGATGTATTTAACCTTACCCAATTGAACATTGCACAACCAGAGTGTTCATGCTACACTGGGAGATTAGAATTCTGGCATAAGGTACAGTTTATAGCCCTTCCACTTGAAGAAAAGGAACCATTGCACAGACCCCACATCTTTGCATACTTAACAGTTTGAATGTGGCAACTGTGAAGTGTTGTCTTCCAGTGACAGCTGTGGAATGTTTTCAGAAGTGTTTGCCTGATTATGTGTGCTTAGTTGATATGAGGAGGCCATCAGTGTGGACAATAAAATGGTAATAATTGCTTTAGGCCATTATTTCTAAGATTGCTCTTAGACAATGGAGGAACCTGGTAATAAAATGCAATTTGATGTCAGATGGATGGCATTACTAAATAATTAATGAAATTGTTTGAATTGCAGCCTGGGCTTGGAGCAATTTCATTCCATTCTTAAGGGGTGGTGGAGGAAACCGTGACTTCTACATGTGGTGGCAGCCACTTGTGTCTTTTTTGGGTCAAAAATGGCAAGGCTTCAATTTCCTGTTCATGAATTGAATTGTAGGCTCTGCCTCAGACGACAAGATTTGATTTTATCGCCCTATTTCTTTCTTTCCCTCCCTTCGTCAGAATTTCCATATCCTTTATTGCCCCAGAACGCACCCCATGTACAGGCCAGAGTATCAGGTTTCAAAGATCACTGTTCCTCGAGCTCCCCCTGTATGGTCTGTGAAATCCAATCCTTGAATTACCTCTTCCTTTTTTTTGTTTTTTGTGGTTTTTTTTTCTTTTGTAGACATTTCCCCTCAGAAACCCCAATCCAATGAACCCATCCTGCATGTGACTTGCTGTTTCGTTTCTCCCTCTCCCACTTCCATGTACCATCTTACATGAGAATAACTCTGACTGAGTATGGCTCGTAACCCAGGCAGATGTCTCGACAGCAGCCCAACTGACCTAGGCATAAGCGGGCCTGATTGCAGTTGACCTGCATGACACAGTGGTCCAATCTCTGAATTGTAAGGCTGCAGGTCTCCAGACACTAGTAGGACCAAGAGCCTGACTGTAGCCAACTCTTAGCTTGGAATCAGATGAGTCCATTGATTCACTGTCATTCTTGTTATCCCACAAAGGACCGCTTTCCTTGGTTTTCAACCATAGTAATTTGGTTTTCACAGAATCCTTTTATACTGTGGAAACAAGCCATTTTGACCCAACAAGTCCACACTGATTCTCTGAAGAGAGCATCCCACCCAGACTCTCGCCCTACCCTATCCCCATAACCCTGTGTTTCCCATGGTTAATCCACCTACCCTGCACATCCTGGTCACTGAGCAATTTAGCATGGCCAATCCACCTAACCTGTGTAATTTTGGACTCTGGGAGGAAACTTGTGCAGACACAAGGAGAATGTGTAACCTCCACAGTCACTCGAGGCTGGAATTGAGCCTGGGTCCCTGGCACTGTTAGCACTGCTGCCCCAGCAATAAGCCACCGAGCCATGGTTGAAGCAATGCAGTGTGTTTACAGAGTAGCTGCTGGCAGTATGCTACGGTTGGACATTGCCATTGTGTAGTATCGTACAGCAATTTATGTCCAATCCATTGATTCACTGACAAGCTACCTGCCTTCAAGTGAGCACTAAGAAATGAAGCTAACAGACATAAGATACATCCTGATGTGTCCTCCTGTACACAGTGATATGACAGCTCACAAGTTGTGGGTGTCCCTGAGTTCCTAAGCCGAGTAGTCTGACAGCAGGCATTATGTAGTGAGCATGCTGGTTTGTCCATTGTTAGTACACAAGGATGCTGTGGTGAAGTCTGGGTCAAGCAGTTGGTGAGTTGCAGCCATCAGATACTTGCTCTGATTTATAAGTTGAACAAGTTTTATGGACAGATGGGGGAATCCTCTACTGAATGCCAATAAAGTTTGCATTTTAAAGTTAAGGAAAATCTTTTTTTGTTTTTTTTTTCTTGACGTTGAAGTTTTTTTCTTTGTCCTGTTTTGTTTTCTCATTTTCTCACCATTATCCATACCAAGTGGAAAATTTCAGCATTGGTTCAGTTTTTCCTGACCTGAGGTTTTTCTGATATCTGTATTCTGTACTGTCTTTGATTATCTCATCTATTGGATAATATTGTTCCTATTTTATAAGGTACTTGTGAAAACACTGGCTTAAGCATGTGTAACTTTTCAGAACATTTTACTTGGGACTGAAATGTTTACTTGTGTTTTGTTTTTTTTTTATTTTTATTTGTTTTTTTTTTTTAAGATTTCTATCCAGACCTGCGTTTTATTTTCTCCCAGCTCCTTCACTCTCTGCTTCCCCCACCCCCCAATTCAGTTAAAGATGTATCATTCCAGAATTGTCTACAGCAGAATGCTAATGAATGTTTGTTTGTTTTTGTTTTGGTTTTTTTGATTTAGATTAATATCACAACATACTGGGTCAATTATGATTTGAGACCAAGATGGTTTGCTAGAAGGTGGATGTCTAGTTTTTGATTCTTAGCTTGTTGAGGGAATGGTATTAATAACCACTTTTTTTTATTAAAGTTCTGTTGGTCCTGTGTGTGAACTGTTTATTAATGTGAAGGCTTCTCCACCTCCTCTTGTGCCTTCATCCTCCCCTTTTTTAATTAGACATCATCATTTGAATAATACTTTTTTTTTTCCTCTTCTCAGTGATATTTAGTTACAATGAAATCAAATGTATAGTAATTCTTGGTTAGAGACAAAATGTAGATGTTGGTATCCAACAGGAGGAAGTCCTGAAGAAGGGTAATACCCAAAACATTGACTCCTTTTTTTTCAGATGTTGCCTGGCCTGCTATGTTCTTCCAGCCTCCTGTTTGACTATATAATAATTCTGATTTACAGCAGCAGAGGTACCCAAGTACCCACTCAAACAAATCTCCAGTAAGCATGGACATATCTCCTAAAATACTTTAAAATACTGGCCAATAAAGAGAATTGTCATTCTTTTAAACTTAAAAGCTGCCTGTGTCCAGTTGCTGGTTAAACTGTAATTTGAAGCACTTATTTGACATGCTTTCAACTTGAGTATTCATTTTGGAGCTGCCCCTCGCAGGAGACCATCCTTCTGGAGTAGTACTAAGCACTAGGTTCAGTTGTAAGTGGAAGAGAGACTGAAAAGCAAACAAGGTGAAATTCCTTACTCTTTCTTCCTTGCATTAAATTAAAAGTAATAAAACTATCTTTACCCAGGCTAACTAGTGGTCAGCACTGCTGCTGTCCAGAACTAGTTTGATTCCAGTCCCGTGACAGTCTGTCTGTTCTCCCTTGGCCTCCAGGTGTGCAGGTTAGGTAGCTTGCAGAGCACTTTGCCATGCTTTTTAGAAAAAGCAAGACATGTCCTGAGCTGTGTAGGTTAGGTGGGTTAGCCATAGTTTTAAAAACCTCATGTGGGGTTATGGGGGAAGGGGAGCTCTTTGGAGGGTTGGTGCAGAGCCGAATGCCCTCTCCTTGAACAGTAGGGATTCCTTGATTCACTTTTAGGTTACAAGCCATCTTGGTTTATAATAGAGACAGCAGATGAATTTTAGGTTCAGCTAGATTGCTGTATAGATATCTGCAGTTACTCTTTCTTGTTGGACAACCTTCCTGAATAGGAATTCCTATAACTCTGACTAGAGGGGTGTACTTATCCATGAACTGCTCAGTGTTAATGCCACCAAAAATGGTCCATTTGTTTTGTTTTATCACTTGCCTTGAGGTTTTCTTCAATAAGTTCAAACATTTTAAAAAAAAAAAAACAGAAACACACTTTTTTATGCTTTAAACATATAGAAAACCAGTTAATTATCAAGTTAACAAGGTGTAGAGCTGGATGAACATAGCAGGCCAAGCAGCATCAGCGGAGCAGGAAAGCTGACACTTCGGGTCGAGACCCTTCAGAAATTCCGACCCGACACGTCAGCTTGCCTGCTGTGTTTGTCCAGCTCTACACCTTGTTATCTCAGATTCTCCAGCAGCGGCAGTTCCTACTATCTCTGTAATTATCAAGTTGCTATGCTGACTTAACTACATTTCCCTACCCCCTTAATCCTAACACATTCTCACACCCTTTTATATAGAGACAAGGTGAGACACATCACTGCACAGATGTCCAAATTAAAAGGATAGAATATCTTGCCGTTTCATCTGTTCCTTATCAATGAGATCACATTGCTGTCAGCCAGAAAGCAATGGAAAATCAGTTTGGGTAGTGAGTCAGTTAACAGTTTGGCTTTCAGCATGTGAGGAGATCAGCTATTAATTCCTGGAACTGAGAATTAACTGTCAGAGCAAGATAACATTACTTGCTTCCAGAATTCAGTGGTGGGGAAGCTGCTGGAGAAGATACTAAGGGATAGGATCGATTTACACTTACATTTGCCTATCACTGATAGGCAGCATGGTTTTGTGCAGGGAAGGTCATGTCTTACCAACTTGATAGAATTCTTTGAGGAAGTGATAGAGTTGATAGTCGAGGGAAGGGCTGTAGATGTCATATACATGGACTTCAGTAAGGTATTTGATAAGGTTCCCCATGGTAGGCGGATGGAGAAAGTGAAGTCGCATGGTGTCCAGCGTGTACTAGCTAGATGGATAGAGAACTGGCTGGGCACCAGGAGACAGGAGAGTTGTAGTGGAAGGGAGTTTCTCAAAATGGAGAACTGTGACCAGTGGTGTTCTACAGGGATCCATGTTGGGACCACTGTTGTTTGTGATATACATAAATGACCTGGAGGAAGGTATAGATGGTCTGATTAGCAAGTTTGCAGATGACACTAAGATTGGTGGAGTAGTAGATAGTGAAGGGGACTGTCGGAGAATGCAGCAGAATATAGATAGATTGGAGAGTTGGGCGGAGAAATGGCAGATAGAGTTCAATCCAGGCAAATGCGAGGTGATGCATTTTGGAAGATCCAATTCAAGAGCGAACTATACGGTAAATGGAAAAGCCCTGGGGGAAATTGATGCACAGAGAGATCTGGGTGTTCAGGTCCATTGTACCCTGAAGGTGGTAACGCAGGTGGATAGAGTGGTCAAGAAGGCATACAGCGTGCTTTCATTCATCGGACGGGGTATTGAGTACAAGAGTTGGCAGGTCATGTTACAGTTGTATAGGCCTTTGGTTCGACCACATTTGGAATACTGCGTACAGTCCTGGTCGCCACATTACCGAAAGGATGTGGATGCTTTGGAGAGGGTGCAGAGGAGGTTCACCAGGATGTTGCCCGGTATGGAGGGTGCTAGCTATGAAGAGAGGTTGAGTAGATTAGGATTATTTATATTAGAAAGTCTGAGGTTGAGGGGGGACCTGATTGAGGTCTACAAAATCATGAGCGGTATAGACAGGGTGGATAGCAAGAAGCTTTTTCCCAGAGTGGGGGACTCCATTACTAGAGGTCACGATTTCAAGGTGAGAGGGGAAAAGCTCTTTACGCAGAGGGTGGTGGGTGCCTGGAACACGTTGCCAGTGGAGGTGGTAGAGGCGGGCACAATAGCGTCATTTAAGATGTATCTAGACAGATACATGAATGGGCAGGAAGCAGAGGGATACAGATCCTTGGAAAATAGGTGACCGGTTTAGATAGAGGATCTGGCTCGGCGCAGGCTTGGAGGGCCGAAGGGCCTGTTCCTGTGCTGTAATTTTCTTTGTTCTTATAACAGTCTGTGCAAAACCAAAAACCAGAAACCAGATCTAATAGTTGCTACGCAACCTTTATCACTCACCTCCTTCCAAAGCAGGCTCTGTCTAGTAATTAAAGTCATTAAAAACCTTTTCTCCTGAAGTCTCTTGGCTTTTTGTAAATTGCAGACAATCCTCAGCTCTTTTGACTGTCATGTTTCCAAAAGTCATAGTAAGTCATTTGCAGCCGAGGAATGGTCCAAATTTTCAAGTTTCCACGTCTCATAATACACAAACATATGTATGTGTTCCTAACAGCGTTCCACACATTATAATACTCAACAGATCAGGCAGCATCTGCAAAGATGAACTGAGTTTAAAAACTTATATTAAACCCTCCCAAAAAAAAAGTGTCATTCAGGTACAGAAGTGATGGATAGGTGGAGGCATTCAATTTTTTTTTCTCTGGCTGAAGACATTTGATATGGCCATTTGTTTGTTGAAAGCAGCAAGGGCATCAATTGTTTAGAAGTCACAATAACACATTCAGCCAACATTCTGTATGGTTTGTTCATCTTCAGAAGATAACCATTAAAACATTGATAGCATGATGCAAAATTAAACCCATTTTAAGCCACGTGTGCTAGAACCCTGCTTTTATTTTCACATACATTTGATGTCTTGGACTTGGGGGCACACAATCCAAACAAAACGTGGAATTATAGTAAATGTTAAAGTTAGCAGTAGCCTCTACGAGGACACAGTCAGACTGGTAGAATGGGTGGATAGGGTACAGATGAATGAAAAGATGGTGCAAACTGATTCCTTTGCTTTTAAAAGAAAATGTCTTAATATTTTGAGGAGGGAAAACAGCCAGGAAATAGAACTAACTGGGTTGTTCTTTGAAACAGCTTGCCCTCACGTATCACCCCATTAACCTCCAGATGCAACGCATCATTCTCCGCCACCTGCAGTCTGACTCCAAAAAAAACTTGTTATCTATGGACAGATTTGTTCACTTGTTTTATACTCTCCATGATGTGTATATGTTCAGGGGGAGGTGATGGCCTTGTGGTATTATTGCTGCACTGTTAATCCAGAGAACCAGATAATGTTCGAATCCTGCCACAGCGGATGGTGGAATTTGAACTTAATAAATATCTTGAATTAAGAGTCTGATAATGACCGTGAATCCATTGTTGATTGTTGGGAAAAACCCATCGGGCTCACTAATGTCCTTAGGGAAGGAAACTGCTGTCCTTAATTGGTCTGGCCTACATGTGACTCCAGACCCACCGCAATGTGGTTGACTCTTAACTGCCCTCTGGGCAATAAATGCTGCCGAGCCAGTGACGCCCTCATCCTATGAATGAGTAAAGAAAAAAGAACATAAAAAATGTTCTAATTGAAGAAAAAAATGAACAAGCTGAAGTTCTAGAACTTCAGGGAGCACCCAACTAGAGATGGACAGTATCCCATTAACACTTAAAGTTGTGCTGTTGTCAGGAAGAACTCCAGGTTTAGAAATTAAATTGTTTGCATTAACGTCAGGGTTCCAAGGGAACTTGATGATTTACATCTATGAAGTTACCCAGTCTATACATCACATAATTCTATGTTTGCCTATTGAACCTAAACCTTTTGAAGACAAAAATCCTGTGAAATGTGCTGTAAGTCTTTACAATGCTATGATCTAGATATCTTGCCATCATTAATTTTTGCCCACCAACACCCAGATGAATTTCGTTAACTGTTGTTCAAAATTACACTGCTAGCATACTTCAGAATCTGTCCCCTGAGCAAACACTTTTATTGCAGTTTCTGACCCTGTCATGTCTAAAAGATAGAATGCAGAAATAAGACGTGTTATTTTTCTTTTGTGCCTTGGAGGTGTTATCAAAACTGATATACTGCTCATCAGGCTCTTCATTAAGTAAGTAATAAAATTTCATCCCTTTTGTTTATGATGTCCTTTTTCTGACAAACAAATTTTCATGTTATTTTGGGGGAAAAAAAAAGAGTCAAGCAATTAGTTTTCATTCTTTAAAGATGAATGACAAGATGGACTTCATCAGATGAGTTTTACAGTATTTTTGTTTGCACCGTTCACCGTTTTTTTGCACGCCTCTATCAGGAAGTGATCTCCTACCGTATCTCTTTCACGTTTTGTTTCCTCATTAGTTCAGTCAAGCATTCCCATTGTTGGCTTAATTGAGACTAGGAAATTTACATGTAGTTTATACCTTGTTTCCACATGGCATTGTGATCACTGTACTAATGCTTACCTAACTGGTTTGGGAGAATAACATGGACTTGAACTGATTATGTTTTCTTTAAGGTGTGATTCTCTGAAACCTCATTAATTCAGAAACTTCAGATATCTTTAGACCCAAGCATTGCTTGGAATAATTTATCTCCCTTCCCAAAGTATTTAACTACTGATATGTTATTTGGATAAGTAGAAGAATTTTTATGATTTATCATGTGCTTTTTGCTTCAACTGAATATTTTAATTCATGCTGTTTCCAATTCTCTCACTTATGGTTAAACCTTCTAATATTGTTCAGTTATCTAGATAAGATATGGTCCTGAGCATTCCGACTGGAGAGTTTACAATATACAATAAACATCAATGAGACTGTGCTGAACTCTGTTTACAATCCAGATAATAGGGGAGTAGTAATAATGTTTCTAAGTAGGTATGTCATTTAGGAATTGCAGTGTTTACTTGAATAAAGGGTTCCCTTCAATTCAGATTAGATTGTCTGTCTGAGTTAATGCTTTTCCGTGCACTATTTTGTATCTCTGCAGCTGTACAATTTACAGACGAGCAAATGCCTGGTTGCCCAAAAATATCCTGATCAAAAAGGAGGCATAGTGGTTGTTAAAGAATGTGATTGGACAGATTCAAATCAGGTGAGCAGCTGTTCTGAGATTTATTTCAGTAGTAATCTTTCATCAAAAGAAGATAAATTGGTCTTGGTTCAAATGAATTTTTGAACTCTAACTTTAGGGTGAAATTGCTACATATTCTTTTGGTTAAAATCAACCTGCAATCCTAATTCAGTTAACACCAGGACAACAACTGGTAAGAGACTTGGAATTGAATCTGAAAACATTTGGCCATTGGGGAGCTTCATCTGTTCACTCAATGAGTTAAGGCAATGTTAAGCTATGATATGCACTTTGACAGGATATATATTGCAGGAAGACAAGGAATCTTTGTTTCTATTTCCAAAAGTGGCACAAACCATTGTTTCCTCATTAGTTTCGTTGGTTTGAACGTGATGGGATGGAATAAGTATTTATTGTGCAATTAACTCTAATGTAAGTATATAACTATGTCATTTTGTGGACTTCGGCGCTGGCAAAACTTAGAATCTTGTAATGGACAGCAATGCAAACCCCAAACTATGGCTTCAAAAACCTAAAGGCAACCGCAATGAGTATGATGAAATGATAGCTATTGCAGAGACATGGCTGCAGGATGATAAAGATTAGAGCCTGAATATTGAAGGGTAAATGACATTTTGGAAAAAGTTGGAGAGGTGACTCTGTTAATTGGTAATAGCCCAATAGAGAGGAATGATCCAAGTTTAGGAAACCAGGATTTAGAAGTGATGAGGATTGAGATTAAAAAAAATGGTAAAACCAAGAGGTTACTTGGAGTGGTGTATTGATCCTTTAACAATAACTAGATAGTAGGATTCTTAAAGAAAGAAGCATTGGGAGTTTGTCAGAAATGTTCAGTGATATGGATAGCATCAAATTGCTTTTATTTCGTTATGGCAATGATTAATGGTAAACTAGAAGATTGGGAATGTTTTGAAAGACAACAAACAAAATAAAGTGACAGATAAAGTTGGACGGTAAACTTGCAAGTAATATCAAGACAGCAAGAGCTTCTTTAAAGTTATAAAAAGGAAGAGAGAGGTCGAAGTCAACACAGGCCCCTGAGAAAATAAGGCTGGGGAAATTTCGGAGCTGTTGAATGAATATTTTATCTTAGTTTCACAGTATTATAATAGTATTCGAAATTTGCTAAATAATTAAGGAGCAAAAGAAGAGGAAATAAATACAGTAATTATCACCAAAAATGCTAAGGAAGAATTGGGCTAACGACCAATAAGTCTCGTGGTCATGATAGAAGGCATTCCACGACATTAAAGGAAATAGTTACAAAGATTGCAGATGCACTAGTAATAATCATCCAAAACCCAGGGATTCCTGGAAAAGTCCCAGAGGCGTGACAGTTTTCCAATGTAACACCTTTTATTTAGAAAGGTAAAGTGACAAAAAAGGTAACTAAGGCCAGTTAGCTTAACAGGGGGAAGGTGATGCCTTGTGGCATTTTTGGTGGACTGTTAATCCAGAGACCCAGGTAATTTTCTGGGGACCCAGGTTTAAATCCTGCCGTGGCAGGATTGATACTAATGCCGTTTAGGGAAGGAAACTGCCTGGTCTGACCTACATGTGACTCCAGGCCCACAGCAATGTAGTTGACTCTTAACTGCCCTCTGGGTAATTAGGGATGGGCAATAAATGCTGGCCTAGCCAGTGACACCCACATTCCATGATTTTTTTTCTTTAAAAAGTCTGTTATTTGGAAATGTCTATTATTAAGGATGCAATGGCAGAGCATTTAGAATAAATATGATCAAACAGAAACATAAGGGGAAATTATACCTGGCAAATTTATTGGAATTTTTTTGAGGAGGTAACAATCAGGATAAATAAAGGGGAAACTGGATACAATTTTACAATTTATTATAATTATACAATTTAGATATTCAGAAGCAATTTCATAAGTACCACATCTTACACTACTTAATAAGATGAAGAGCCCATGGTGTTCGAGATATTAACTTGAAAATAAGACAGAGTTGGGATAAGGAGAGCATTTTCATGATGGCAACCTATAACTTGTGGAGTGTCATGGGGACCAGTGCTGGGCCCACAACTATTTACAATGTACTGTTGAGACCTTCGTTATTTAATTTTTTGGTTTAGAGCCGTGAACTAAAGATGACCTTTGGACTGTCAGCAGCAGCTTCTTTTTTATTTTAGAAAAGAGAACAATTTCTGATTTTGTTTGATGCCAGCCCTGAAAGTTAATTGCAGTTTAATTTTTGTTAAAATGATCTGTAGACGTTTTGACTCCAGAAGGACCTTGCGTTCAAATAGATGGCAGATGTTGAATATTAACTTGGCCTTTATAGGGATACAGCCAGTTTGAAAAAGATAAACCAAAGTTTAAACTGTTTATTTTTGGACTGAGTTGAGTCAGAAGGATTGTGCCTTAAAGTACATGTTGGAAGTTTGATTGATCCTTGTTTAGCTTCCCATTATCAACTTCTTGCAACTTCAGACAATAGAATTTCAGTTACATGTATTAACTTAGAACCTCCTGGAAAATGTTTGCACGCATTGGTGTCTTCAGGAAACCAAGCAAGATACAATCCCATGTGCCTGTAATGTTATGGATCATGGAGTCTTCTTAAGTAAACTGACTAGTTACATCTCACTTATTTCTATTGATTTTATCCCTTAACTTTGTCTATTTCTCTGACTGTCTGTCTTTGTGTGGGTAGGGCCTGGGATCAAAGAAGATCAGTTTTAAATCATAGATGTTAATTAGATTACCTTATAAAAACCAAAAGAACTGCGGATGCTGTAAATCAGGAACAAAAACAGTTGCTGGAAAAGCTCAGAACGTTCTGAGGAAGGGTCACCGGACCCGAAATGTTAACTCTGTGTTTTCTCCTTCACAGATGCTGCAGACCTGCTGAATTAGATTACTTTGTTGCTTAACTTTGTTTTGACAAAGCTACCACATTATTAACAAATTATTAAATCTTTTTTGTTTAAGCTATAAACCTGGTGCCTGGTATCAGATATTCAAAGTCTAATACTGTTTTTCAAAAAGTCTGGTTAGGAACCATTAGATTATTGAATGTTTGTTTGTTTGTTTTTTAATTTTACTGTGTTGCAAATACAGGGATAGAGAGTCTGATTGGATTTGTGTGTGTCTTAATGTCATAACAATGAATTATTAATAACTTGGACCAAGAATGTGAATGTACAATATCTAAGTTTGCAAATGACACAAAAATGGGTGGAAGGTAATTGGGTGAGGATGATAGTCTGCAAAGGCATATAGATAGGCAAAATGAGTGGCCAAAAATGGGCATATGGAATATAATATGGGAAAATGTGAAGTTTTGCACTTTGGCGGAAAGAATGGAGGAAGAGAATATTATATAAATGGGGAAAGACTGCGGAAAACTACAGCACAGAGGGATTTGGGAATCCTTGTGCACAAAATCTCAAAAAGGTAGCGTACAAGTTCAGCAGATAATGAGGAAGGTAAATGGAATGTTGTCCTTTACTTCAAAGGGAATAGTATATAAAAATAGGCAGGTCTTGTTAAAACTATACAGACCAGTAGTCAGACTAAGGCTGGAATACTGTGAACAGTTTTAGTCTGCTTATCTGAGGGAAGATATACTGGCATTGGAGTCAGTCCAGAGAAGGTTCGCTGGGCTGATCCTGGATATGGAGAGATTGTCTTAAGTGGAGAGGTTGAGTAGGTTAGGCCTGTACCCATTGTTGTTAAAATTCTGGTTGATATTTTACAGAGATATTGTTGTGTCTTTGTTTTTCTATCAATCTTTCTTGATGGATCTTGCAGATTTGGATATACAATGAAGAACATGACCTGATTCTGGCCAACCTGCTTTGTTTGGATATGTCTGAGACCCATTTGTCAGACTCTCCTCGTCTTATGAAATGCCATGGTAGTGGAGGGTCACAACATTGGACTCTGGGGGTAAGACTTTCCAGTTGGAATTTTTTTTTCTTTTATTCCTTCACATTTTAACAGTATCTCCATAGTGGCTTTGTTGTTTCTTGCTTATTGACAGAAAGTGTAACTGAACTAACTGGGCAACAGCACAGTGTTTTGGATTCCCACTGTTCCCAGCTTGTTATGGATCCTGGTGTGCTGTTGCCAATAAGCACTGGTTTGAAGCCAAGGGAAACAAAATGGAACAGCTCATGAGGTGTCTGTAAAATCTGTGATATAGATCTGAGAACAAGCTGAACGCTTTGTTTGGACAATGCTTCTGGAGAATCAAGAAAGGCAAGATGATACTAATGGGCCAGCAGGTGAAGCGTGTCACCTCAATAGTTAGTTGAGAGTCCGACTAGGATTTTAATTGTCTAACTTTTTCTCGGTAACATCTGAAGTGGAACCCTCTGAATGTCTTTAATGGATTATTTTGAAGGGCTCCTGATCAGGAATTTCAGGGGAATTGCCCATCGGAATCTTGAATTTCCCAAGGAAGTCCCACAGATTCTGCTGCGTCTGAGATTTTGCTTGGCCACATTACACAACTCTAGTCTGCACTGCTCTGAACTATAAAGTCATACAGATATACAGCATGGAAACAGACCCTTTGGTCCAACTCGTCCATGCCGACCAGATATCCTAAATTAATCTAGTCCCATTTGCTAGCATTTGGCCCATATCCCTCTAATCTGGCCATTGGGATATCTGAACCGATATGTCAAAGAAATAATAGTGATTCTTATTTGGAAATGTACCATGTCACAAATTGATGGGACGTGCCACTGGTTCTGTCACAATTTAATGGGGATGAGGATGCCAATAATTGAACCCACTGTTCCACAAGCTGTCACAAATGTTCAAATACCTTATTAGACCACGGAGGTGACCAATTTGCCTGACTGCCTGCTATTCAGGACCAAAGTAATTTACACCAAGTTTTTTCATTAATCGGAAGTAAGATAAGTTTGATTACAATAAATAGAATTAATAAAGGCACAGAAAAGACCACTAATCTATTGTTTTACAACTTAAACTATACCCTTTAAAATTCCAAACACATAACAGTCATCCATGATTAGTTCATATAAAAGATAGACGGTTTGACACAAATATTGTACATGGGGAAATATGGACAGGGAAAAGAAAATTGCAAAGGTAAAAAGTCGAGATCACATGGGTAGGTTACATTTGTCTTTCATAGATCGTTTTCATTTTGGATATTTTCTAATCCTTTTGATTTTAGCAACGACGACACTGTGGTGTGTAAAGCAAGTTATTCCTCATTTTGATAATTGTTCTGGTAGATCTCTGCTTTTTCTTCTATATTAGAAATCCTTCTTTCAAGTTTCTGGGGTTTTCTATCTTAACACTCACAAGAGAGAAGGAAGAGCAAGATGCTTAATATTTGCTGGCTTTGGAGGTCTCTGACTGCTCTGCATTTACAGATCTGTAACAATCTACAGCTTGACCAATCCCAAGGTTCTTGCTGGACAGTCTTGTATTAATTCAGAGACACCTGGTGCCGGTTGTTCTTAAGAATCATAGAATCCCTACAGTGTGAAAATAGGTCATTTGGCCCAACAAGTCCACACTGACCCTCTGAAGAGCATCCCACCCTGACTCATTCCCCCATGTCTAACCCACCTAACCTAAACATCCCTGGACACTATGGGCAATTTAGCATGGCCAATCCACCTAGCCTGCACATCTTTGGACTGTGGGAGGAAACCGGAGCACCCAGAGGAAACCCACACAGACACAGGGAGAATGCGCAAACTCCACACAGGCCATTGCCCGAGGATGGAATCGAACCCGGTCCCTGGTGCTGTGAGGCAGCAGTGCTAGCCACTGAGCCGCCCAAAATAAATAATCTCACTGCTTTGAAAAGCGACATGATCTTTTAAACCCACAAATATGCACTGTTTGATTTTTCCATGGTGCAAAACTCTTCTGGTATTTCAGCTATATAGTAGTCTGACTTCCTTTCATTCCAGTTTATACTTTAAAAGTTTCTGTTGTGGGATGGCTCCTTCATTATTGCAGCTATCAATGGTAGAGACTTAATGCAGTCAGAGGAGACTACCTGGAATATTGTCAGGCCTGTTCTAGAGTGGAAGATTTGAGGGCAATTTTCCTGTCCTCCATCCTGGTTTTAAAAAGAAAAATGGTTCATTTGGAGGGTTTTGTTTAAGATAACACCAAATTGCCTTGTACTCATTTGTGGTGAGGTACATCTATAATTCGAGGGAAAATGTTCATTTAGTCTTACTTCTCGCCTACAATCCCAACTCTAGTCCATCATTAGATATCTGCTTTACTGTTGCTACTCTAGGCTTGAATTCCTGTTGAATAGGGCTGCACATACTCTGCTTCTGCATTCTCTGAAGGATTCGTTGAAGAAACTCCTCTGTTTTGTGGCAGCTCGCAGTCCTCTTGTTGACCTTCACAAACCATGTACTATGTTAATCCTGCCAAGACTCGGCAACTTTGCTCAGCCCACACTCCAGTTTTTCAGGCGTTCTCAATAAATCAGCAATCACTGCCTGCCCTTACATTTTCCTCTAGGATATCTGGTCACTTATGAAAATACACTGGCTATCCATTGTGAATGAATGATTGCATTGATAGACTGCTTTTGACTCTAAGATGGTGACATCTTGCCCCCTCATTAATACCTCCATACCTACTTATACTTTGTACCACTCCAGGCACACTGACCATTCTGGGCCTGGAATCTGGGAGGAAGGGACCTTTTGCGTCATTGTCATGGGGAAAATGGAAAGCTTGACTTAGACCTACATAAGTGTATGAAATATTTTTGCAAAGATTTTACATTTCAAGTTGTCATTTATGATGTATAATGCCCAAACTCCAATGATTTGTGAACTGAATGTTACAATATTGCTGCTTTTGTTCGTGTCTGGAGTCATGTTAGTTTTGAAATGTTAAATCGGGGTCACAGTAATAAAAGAATTTAGAAAGCACTGCCTTAGTGGGAATGCAGCAAAGCTAACTCATTAGTCTGGTTCCTAAGATGGTAGGAATATCTTGTGAAGAGAGACTGAGTAGACATACATTCCATCAAGTTTATAACACTGACCGAAGAATTAATTGAAACACACAAGACTCTTCTGGAGCTGGACAGGATAAAGAGCAAAGAAAATATTTCTCTGAACTAGGGAATTTGGAAACATGGGATCATAGTATAAGGATAAAGGAGCAGCCACTTATTCTTGTGATGATATAATTCTTTACTTGGAAAGATTGTGAATCTTTGGAATTATCTATACCAGAGAGAGCTGTGGATGTTCAGTTTTTGTGCGGATTCAAATCACTTGTTGCTAGATGTTTAAATACTGAGAATTATAGGATATGAATATTGTCTAGGAGGGTGAAGCTGTCATAGAAGAACTATCTTTATTATTGAATGGTGGAGTAGGCTTAAAAGGCTTAATCTAGTTTCTATTTACGCTCCTCATATATGGTTGCCTCCCAAGTTAATGCCTATGTTTCTGGCAATGTCATTATTTAATTTTGACAATCAAAATTTTGACTGATTTAAAGTTGTTTTGGCACAATGACTACAAAGTTACAAAAATCACATTGTGGCATTTTTATACAGGTGACCGCATCATCCTAATTCCATTGTTTGGCTGAGTGTGACTGGCCTTGCTTGATTTTGTTTGTAGCTAGAGCAGATACAGCAAATATTTCCCTTCCTGCCCCCATCTCTCTCTTTGATGACATCAACCTAAGATATGGAGTCAAGTTCCATGCACACATTTGACTCCTATTAGTTCTACTGCACCATCTGTCTCAACATCTGCACAGCCTATATGATGTGGGCTATTCATTCCAGTACTCATATGATCTGCTTCCCATGCTATATCCTTCATACGTGTCAGCTTACTCAAAACCCTGTGGTCCGTAAGCTGTCTTGCACAATGTTCCACTGACCATTACTCCAATGCTCACTAATGTACATTGAATGCCAGTATCCTCATTTTCTATGATTTTGAAAATCTGTCCTGCTTCATTGCTTCATCCCTTTATATTTCTGCCCTTAATCTTATGCCACCCCTCCTTGGCCCACCCAAAATCAGTCCGTCGCAGAACTATCTGTTCCTTCAGGTGATCCCCTAGTTCTTCACCCATCAGCCATCTAGATTCCACATTCTGGAATTCTCTTCCTGGATCCGTGTCTAGTTTGAACTTCCTTGCTTTAAAGCCTTGTTTGAACACCTTTTTATCACCATGTTTAATGTTTCCTTTTGTCAAATTTGTATTTAATTCTACCTGTGTGAATGAAATTTACTAATATGTTGAAATTCTTTTAACAGGACACTAATTTTGCAGGAACATGTTATGACTATCTATAATAATAATTATATCAATTGAGATCTGTTATCACAGCAGGAATATATGAATGTTGTCAGGATACTGCAGATCAGATGCCTTGATCTGAGAAGACCCCTTGCCTTTCTCTAATCTATGTTTCATGTTTTTATAGGCAAACAATTCTTTGTATCAGATATCAGCTGGACAATGCCTGAAAGTGATTGATCCGGATAGTCATAAAGGATATGTCGCCATGGCAATTTGTGATGGTTCAAGATCACAGCAGTGGAAACTAGACAACTGACGTGAGCAACATTTTGAATACTCACACAGGGAGCAATTTAAATGACCTGAGACTGACTTCCAAGATGATCGACATAGAAAGGATGACAATTAATGTTTGAGTAGAAATGCTGGATGTTGGTAGACTGTCCACTTTTAACTCAGTGAATAATTATTTTATCAAAGTGTTTTGTCAGTTTTCTCCCCTAGACTTTTTTTATAATGAGTGAGATTGAAAATTTTAATTTTGTAAAATATTTAATCAGTTATTTATGTTTTTAATTGTCTAAAAAAGGGTCCAATTTGTTCAGCTGGTATGGTAATATAGAGGCATATCTTGTTCCAGTACTTCAAAGTAAATTTCCCCCAGTGACTTGGACTGTATCTGTACTGTTCAATGTGGTTAAGTCCTGTAGACTAGGTACTAGGCTTGATGTACCTAGTTTCTTTCCCCTGGGCTCGAGATGAGGAAACAGCCCAGGTGCCTGCTTCACTGATTCCTAACCAGTGTGCTTGGATTTCACAATGACGGAACCACAATTGAAATAGTCTGCTAGAACCCATCAACTGAAAGAATGCCTGCCTTTTGTGAGAGGTATCACGGAGTGGCTGCAGTCCTACAACTGTACCAAAGCTTACTTGATGCTTTACCCATTTTTCTTCCAAGTTTAAAACTCAGCAAAATTAAGTAAGTTTTAAAGAAATCACTAATTCAAATGTACAAAAAAATCCTTTTTCTCTAAATTGTCTGTTTGGGTCTGATGATATTTTGAATCTTTGATTTATTATTTGTTCTGGTATTATGTGGTACAACAGACCATATTGAAGAGGGGAGCAATATTATTTTGGGTTGAGTGTACAACCTTGAATTTGTAATGAGTTTTTGTGACAAGCCTACAAAATCTTCCTGTTCGTTTTAACGCTGAATTAGATGTATATCAAAATGTTTACTTTTTGGAGTGACAGTGGTAATAATCACTGGACTAGTAATCAAGAGCCCTGGGTCAGTGTGCTGGAGCTACGGGTTTTAATCTCACCATTGCTTTCTCACCATTGAACCCCATCTGATTCACTAATTGTAAAAACATGTGGAATTCCGCTGACTCTATAGTAACTATGTAACTAGTGTTAATTGCGAAAAAAACCCCATCTAATTCACTAAAGTCTGTTTTCACAGGAAGAAAATCTTTCATCCTTATCCAGGTTGGCCTAAATGTGACTCCAGACCCACATCATTGTGGTTGTCTTAACTGCCCACTGAAATAGTCCCTGCAAGCTACTCCGATCAAGGACTAATGAGGGAAGGACAGTAAATGCTGGCCCAACCCAGTGACATGCACACTCTTATGAATTTAAAAAAAAAAAAAAGTTGTGTTAGATAGTAATAATAATAGCTTGGTCACCATTACATTGTTTAAAAGTAGTGTCTGCTTCAAGTGTATGAAAGTTATACTTTTAACTTTCCCTGATTCTAAGAATGAGGGGAGAGAAAGGAATACTGCATATGTGGAAAACCTCATTCAGATGATGTTTCATCATAGAATCGCTACAGTGTGAAAATAGGCAATTCCGCCCGAGTTCACCCAGACCCCCAAACTAACTATCCACAAAACTCTACATTTCCCATGGCTCGTCCACCTAACCTGCATGTCCCTGGACACTACAGGCAATTTAGCATGGCCAATCAAGCTAACCTATACATCTCTGGACTGTGGGAGGAAACCGGAGCACCCAGAGGAAACCCAGGCAGACACTGGGACAATGCACAAACTCCACACGGTCACCCACAGGTGGGATTGAACTTGGGTCCCTGGCACTGTGAGGCAGCGGTGCTAGCCACTGTGCCGCTCCATCTTTCTAACGTTACTGTCCTGTCAACTTCTCATAATTCAGCAAGAGGTTTTCTTCTGTTTCATTTAACTCTCGCTTGGTAACTGCAGGAGGATTTTCTTCTCCTCACTGTGCAATAATGGCAAAAACAGGAGGATTTCCTCAGGAAATCTTTTCTAACCAAAGTGTAAACCTGTTCTGCTTGTGATTTCACTAGAAAACTTAAGAAATCTTGCTGCTGAAATGCCACTAATTTAATGATCACATATCCCTTAAAAGTTGGTCCAGACTTTAGAACGGTTTCATTTACAAGCCTTTCTTGAATTTTCTGATCCAGTGATGTGCTAGTCACAGGGATACAGCAGTATAATAATTGCTACTGGACTAGTAATCAGAGGCTAATAGTTCAAGGAACGGGAGTTGAAATGAGCCAAGAAGTTGAAGCTTTCTGTCTTACATTCATCAGAATTAGGATACAAGAAGCAGATTTAAACAAAAGAACACCATTTTATACACGAGAAGAAGATGCTGATTGGTTGGGCTGTCACCAAATATATTAATCTATATTCGGTATTAGTGACTTCAGTCTGCTCTTTACCAACCATCATTGCTCCATTTCAAAAATTATGCATTAACTAACATGATTTCCAATATCAGAATCACATTTTAATGGTGGATATACTTTTCTGATGCTTGCAATCATTGGCTGGTTGGCACAATTCTGCTATTTGTGCTTGAAGCTACATATATAAAATGGGGTTCTGTGTATTTATACAAGTAAAAGGAATCTCATACATTGGCTGTCTTCAAAACCCTTTAGTTTAGAAAAAGGTGCAGTTGCTGCTGCAACCCCATGGCAACACACTATCCAATCACAGTTTATCTGCCTGACCTGAGAATTAACAGACAGTTTTATGTTCTTGCTGCATCTCCAAATTAATGATGGCCCAACTAATCAGCATCCTCTTTTCATGTGCTGTATAAAGTGATGTTCCTTTAAGTCTGTTTCTTTCAATCTTATTCTGATCAATGTAGGACAAAAAGCTTTGACTTCTTGTTTCCTTTTAGCAGTTGTTCTTTCTGGAAATTTGAAAACCTGTTTTAACAATTCTGGAAATTAACAAAAAAACACAGTAAATGTGACCATAAAGCTATTGAATTGTTGTTATTTAAAATAAAATGGTTGACAATTTTCCTTATGAAAGGAAACTCCAGTTCCAACTGTGCTGTGAAGTAGCCTACCAACTGACAATTATACTAAATGGGTCTTAATATCCATTTTGACTTAAAAAAATCAAGTTAAACTATTCTTTTGCCAGGTTTATTCCAAACTAATTTAGTGAGTTTTCAATTTGACTTGCAATTTCTGACCAAATTCTTTTGCTTAGACCAGCAATTGAAATAAATGTCAAATAGACCAGAAAATATCAAATTGGATTGATATTTTCAATCTATTTATTTACTTGAAGATTTATGTAAAAATCAGTAGAAAGTGAGAATGTATCTGTCCTGTAAGTAATTGCTGTCTGGGTTTTTAAAAGCGTAATTTTTGAAATGGAGTAATGATGGTTGGTATAGAGCAGGTTAAAGTCACTAATATTGAATATAGATTCAACCAGTATATTGTTCTACACTGTACACTTCAGTCCATGAACGTGAGCACTTAAGTAGAAAACCTAGGTTATTAGTCACATATTTGGGAATTTGGAAAAATAAATCTTTTGTACTCTGAAGCAACTTCAGCCAAGTGTTTAGCAAAGTTTTATAAACAAATTTACTGACATTCTTCCTCCTTAAGCTACATTCCCAGTTGATTAACAGTCACTTTGAGTAGAGACCATAGA